TCGGGCAGAGGGGCGAGGACCGAGCGCCCAAGGCTAGGAGAGACGCTGGCCCTGGGCTTCCCAGCCCCGCCTCACCTCGCTTTTAGAACTCCGCGACCCGCGCGCAAGGCGAGTACCCAGGGCCTCGGGGGGGCTGGGCCGGCATGGCCAGCGCCGGGGTGGGAGGACCCTGTCTGGAGGGGTTGGGGCTTTTCGACACTTCACCGGGTAAATTTCCTGAGCGCAGAGTGCTCGGCGCTGGTGTCCGCCCCTTGGATTTCGCGTATGGGCGTCTGAAAGGAAACCAGAAGCCGGTAAGTGATCCAAGAACTCCACTTCTGGGATTTGACCCGGGAGGGTGACGATCCGGGTAGACAGCTAGACACTCCCTCCATTCCTCTCCTCCACCTCCAAAGAAGAAGAAGCTATAGTGAGTTTCAGGCACCAAATTATTTACTCGGTAGAGATCATGACTTTGCCTGGGTGTCTGTGCTGCCCTACACCCTGCTTGTTATACACGTTAAGACGACTGGCCTGTTAATTAACTTTAATTACGATCATTTGGCCTCCACCTGCCTGAACCCGATACCTTACACGGGAACCTGTATGCAGTGAGTTTACCAGATTGATCTTTCTTGTTTACTTTTGGAGACAGTTCTTTGGGAGAAGTGGTGTCCATCCTATTTAATAAAGTAAGTTTTATTTTCTCTAATTCTGGCTTGTTTTCTTAAACACTTCTCCCACCTTGAGGTGATCTAGAGTTATTTTGATTTGGGGAAAGGGTTCGTGGAATTATATAGCCTTTGATAATCAGAGGAAAATACAAGAAAATAAGCTAGTTTGTGTGGAATAATGACATCTTAGGCTGTTGTAAGATAAGTATCCTGATAGCAAATTCTTTTCTTTTCTTTTCTTTCCTTTTCTTTTCTTTTCTTTTTTTTTTTTTTTTGTTGCAAGCTTGTCCTTGAAGTAGGCTGTTCGGTAGAATGCAGCCTTCGGTTAAAAAAAAAAAAAAAAGAAGTGTATTGAAAATAAGCTATTTTTAAAAGTACATTTAATAGGATGTCATTGTTATTACCCATAATAGTACTGTACTTACAAGCTGAGTATTGATTTCCCTGCACTTAAGCACTCTACACCCCCGCGGGCTCATGGAACTTTGCCCATAAGTAATTGGAAGACGAAGTTATGGGTGTTTTAAAAAGGAAGCTAACTTTTTTAAGGAAAAGAGAGAAATACCTTTAAACTCTTATTGATGACTTCCATACACTTATAGGAGAAATATTGAGAGAAAATGCTCACGACATTCTTTGTCCAACAACGTTTAAAGAAGAAAAAAAAGTGGGTCATGGAACTAGGCTAGGGTTAAGTGCAAATATCTTCCTGGCTTCTTTCCAAACATATTTAACACATACACATTTAAGGTGGTTCCTAACACGAAGAGGGTTTTATATAGATTTGTCAGTACTCAGAGATTTATTTAAATTAAAATATACCTAGAGGGTGACAGAGCTTGTTAAAACTTATTTATATGGATGTGCATGTGTTTGCATTTTTTCTTCCTCTGTAAACCTGTCAGATTTTATGTGGCTTGTCTGTAAAAGGAGAAGCTGATGGTACATTTAAAAACAAATTCTTGTTTTTCTAATATCACTGCAAGCTCCTTGCAGTGTAAGACTCATGGGTATGCAATAATACTTACCAGATCCAACTATTCTTGGATACTGTGGGTAAGTATAGAACTCAGATTATAATGAATTACAGTTTTCTGAAGAACTTTTACATTAACGCATTGAAACTATGAGGTTTTTAAAGTCTAGTTAGGATTCTGAGTTATAGACTTCATGGTATATGAGAAGGTTTTTTTTTTTTGTTGCTGTTGTTTTGTTGTATTACTTTCTAACCTACCTCCCTGCAACTGTGAGAAAGTTTGGTGAAAGTGACTATACAAATGCTAAGTATAAATGATAGTCATTGCTTTAATAGTTTTTTTTTAGCACACATTTCCACCTGCCCTCATTTATTTATCGATACATTTCTTGGATACAATCTTTGCACATGCTACGTAGTGAGAATTTTGGGAATTCTTGGTGAAATATTAATTAGGTAGAGAACTTCTTAATAATCTGGGAAATATGTCTTAGCTTTGACCACATACGATAGATGTGAGATTAGAGGCTATGAGAGGCTGTCTTAATCTTTTCTGCAAAGTTCTGGACCTTGTAATTTATCATATTAGTTATTACTTCTAAGTATTGGACAGATTAAATATGTAATGGTAGTTAAACCATTTTGCTCACTTGTTTCTGTCTTTAAATGAAACAGTACTCAATGGTATTCTCATGTGATCCCTTCTAGTTAGAAAGTTGTCCTGTGAAATTTTGTTTCAGTTTCTGTTCAGCACAAGCTTACTTATTTACCCATGCTGCAGAGAAAAGAAAGGAGGCCTCATTTGGGTTGAAGTAGTCCTTTTGGGGGGCAGATGTGAGGTTTTTTTTTAGAGTTCCTGAGAACTCATGAAGGATGATGGGGCCACTTCTCTATGTATTTAAAACAATGCTAAAATATAAAACCATGTGGAAATTAAGGTCATAAAATTGGATTTTTCTCACTATTAAAATTTAAGTACTTTTTTGGAATATATCAAATTCTTTGCAAAAAGTTGTTTTTTTGTGGTGTTTTTGGTATTCTTTATTGGCACTTACTGAGTAGTAATGAACTGATTGTCATATACATGCCATTTTCCTTTTCTTATAGTCATGTCTAATTTACCCTTTAGATTGTAAACTATTGGAGGGAAGACTGTATCTTCACTTTCTTTTTAGCCCTTAGCACTGTTGTCAAATCAGATAGTAGATGCTGTTTTCTTGAACGCCAAATATCTCCCTGCCTTATCTTGGAGTGAGTAGTGTTGCTTAATATATATTGAATGAATACATGTAAAAAAAAAAAAATGGACCAGTAAGGTAGGAGACGTTTTCTGAAATACCCTGTTTTTGTAAGAAAAAAAAACTTTGACAGTTGCTAAACCAATAGAAATAAACCCTCAAACTCAGTTGGAAAAGAGGTCAGGGTACTATTTATAAATGCAAAGAAAGGAAACACTCACAGTAGGCTATTCTGAAACATCTGGTTGTTTGTCTAAAAATATGACATACATTCAGAGAAATGGTAGAGTATACATTTATACAAAAGTTTTACAATTCTGCTTTTGTAGAAACTCTGGAAGAATAAATCATCCTCTCATATCCCAAGAATTATGGTTCTACCTTAGGGATCTCTCCATTAGAATTAAAAAAAAAAATTCTCAAACCCTAGTGAATTAACTTAAAATCTGGATGGACAGCTTGAAAGACAAAAGACTTACAGAAGTTAAGGAGATTATCAGGCGTTTAACTTTTGTGATATTATCCAGAACACCTAAACCTAGGTATCTCCTATGCTACTGATACGTTCTTTTACTAAGTCAAGGAATTAGCACTTGTGGTTTTCACTGGATGGAAATTAATATTAAGTTTTAGTTTTTTTTATTGTGTTTTTCAGATTGCACTATAAGTAAAATAATTAAAACACAGCTTAGAAAATCCTTACTCCTTGATCCAAGCTACAAAATGATTTTGCCTAGAGCGTACCTATTTTCAGCTAAAATCTCCATTATTCTCCATCCAGAAGACACTAATTAAATGCTTGTTGCTTACCAGGCGCTGTTCTAAGATCTTAATGCATATGGGCTCATTTCATCCTCAAAATAGCCCTGTGAGGTAGGCGCTATTACTTTCCCTGCTTACAAATGACAACAGTGAGGCTCAGGAAAAGAGAGGAATTCTCCCAAGGCCTCGCAGGTAGCACGTGGCAGAGCTGGAATCCCTGGTAAGTCACTGTGCTTTGTGTCCCAGGTGTTAAGTCTTCAGGTGAAATTGTCATAATTCTTACAACTCTAACTACATCTATACATTACTACATTAATAAAACTATGTTAACTGCCATGTTAGGTGCATTGTGGATTTATTAGAAGAATGATTTACAGTGATAATTTAAAGGAAAGTAATATTACTACGCAGACAGAAGAATTCCATTCAAACCGAGTGCAATAGAGTGGTATGAATATGATTAAAGGCAATATTGTATACAATGGGTAAATTAATAATAGCCAACATTTATGGTGCAGTTGTAACTCATGTCAGATAGTCTTATATATCTTAAATATTTGACTTGTTTAATTCTAACAGAAATACTACACGATATGGAGTATATTACCCTTGTTTTATAAATGAGAAAAACAAACTTCAGGAAGTTAAATAACTTAATCAAGATACATAGTTAAAAAGTGGGGAAGCCTGGATTGGAATTTGGGCATTGTGCTATCTATACTTACTGCCTGAGCAGAACTAATAAGGGATTGAGGAGGGATGGGATAGGCAGGGAAGCCTCATGAGTGTGGTGTTACCATACTTGGAAGACTTGAATTGGCTCCCAAACGAGAGTAAAAAAGTCCGGGGATGTACAGGGATTTCAGTTTGAATAAGAGTTGAGACGCTGGCCCAAATCTTCTAGTCTGTCTTCTGATCTCCTTTTTTACTGGGTGAAAAGAACACATACTATAAAATTTACCATCTTAATCATTTTTAGTATATAGTTCAGTAACGCTAAGTATATTTACATTACTGAGAAACAGATCTCCAGGCCATTTCCAGTTGGTAGAACTGAAACTCTATACTTGTTAAACAACTCCTTACCTCTCTTCCCACCTCTGGTAGCCACAGTTCTACTTTCTATGAATTTGACTATGGTGGATACCTGATGTAAGTGGAATCATATATTTGTCTGTTTTATGACTGGTTTTTCACTTAGCATAATGACCCTCGGGGTTCATCTATATTGTAGCATATGACAGTATTTCACTCCTTTTTAAGGCTTCTTAGTATTTCATTTTGTGTATATACTACACTTTCTTTATCCATTCATCCATTCATAGACATCTGGGTTGCTTCCACTCCTTATCTACTTTTGCACTACATGTAATATTAAACCTTTAAGACCATAGTCAGGTATCTTTTTTTAATTAATACTTTCTTCTTCTTTCTTCTTTTTTCTTCTTCTTTCTTCTGCTTCTTTTTTTCTTTTTTTCT